CAGCCAGTGAGCGGGAACCGGTCTGTATGTGGGATCCGAACCCTCGGCGGGAGCACCGCTGTGCTTCCCAAACAGCGCACTAGCGCAGTGCGCCACCGGGCCGGCCCTACAGTAAGTATTTTTTAAATAAGAAAAAAGTCTAAAAAAATCACATGGGTCAGATGATTTTCAACAAGGATACCAAGACAATTCAATGGGGGAAAACTGTCTTTTCAACAAATGATTATAGAACAACCATATAGCCATATACAAAAGGATGAAGTTGGACCCCTATCTCACACCATATACAAAAATAAACTCAAAATGGATCATAAACCTAAACCTAAATGTAAGAGCTAACATTGCAAAAGAGAAGAGCTGTAAAGGAAAATATAGGAGTAAACCTTCCTGACCTTGTTCAGAAAATGGTTTTCTTAGATACAAACCAAGAGCACAAATGACAAAAGAAAAAAATAGATAAATTAGAGAACCAAAATTTAAAACCTTTATGCTTCAAAAGACACCATCGTATACGATCCAACAATCCCACTACCAAGTATATATCCAAAGGAAAGGAAATCAGTATGTTGAAGAGATATCTGCACTTCCACGTTCACTGTGGCATCATTCACAATAGCCAACATATGGAACCAACTGAAGTGTCCTTCAACAGATGAATGGGTAAAGAAAATGTGTTATATTTACACAAGAGAATACTATACAGCCATAAAAAAAATGAAATCCTGTCATTCATAGCAACATAAATAAGCTTGGAGGACATTATGCTAAATGAAGTAAGTCAAGAACAGAAAGAGAAATACCACATGTTCTTACTCATATGTGGAAACTAAGGAAGCTGAATGCATGAAAGTAGAGATATACATATAAACAATTCTTACAACTCAACAATAACAAGACAACCCAGTTAAAAATGATCAACGAATCTGAGGAGACATTTCTCCAAAAAAAGACATACAAATGGCCAATAAGCACATGAAAAGATACTCAACATCATTAGTCATTAGGGAAATACAAATCAAAACCATAATGCAAAAATCACTTTGTACACACTAAGAATGGCTACAGTCAAAAAGGCCAACAATAACAAGTGTTCGCAAGGATGTGGAGAAATCAGAACCCTTAAACATTGGTGGTGGGACTGTAAAATGGTTTACAAAAAATGAAAGATAGAGCTACTATATAATCCCTCAAGACTACTCCTAGGTATATACCCAAAAATAATTGAGAACAATACTCAAATACATGTGTATATATGTTCACAGTAGCACTACTCACAATAGCCAAAAGGTAGAAAGAGCCCAAATGTCCATCAATGGACGCATGAATAAATAAAATGTGATATATGCATGCAATGGTATACTATTCAGCCATAAAAAGAAATAAAGCACTTATACATGCTACAAACTTTATGCTAACTGGATCAACCTGGAAAACATTATGCTAAATGGAAGAAGCCAGACACAAAAAGTCAAACATTGTATGATTCCATTTATATGAAATGTTCAGAACAGCCTTTATGCTAACTGGATCAACCTGGAAAACATTATGCTAAATGGAAGAAGCCAGACACAAAAGGTCAAACATTATATGATTCCATTTATATGAAATGTTCAGAACAGATGAATCCGCACAGACAGAATGCAGATTGTTGGTTGCCAGGAATTGGGGGAGGGAAGGAATGAGGAATGGGAGTGACTGCTTAATGGATATTAGGTTTTACTTTAGAGTGATGGAAATGTTTTGGAACTAGATGGAGGTGGTAGTTGCACAACATTGTGAATGTACTAAATGCCATTGAATTATTCCCTCTAAAATGGTTAATTTTATATTGTGTAAATTTTACCTCAATAAATTTTTTTCAAAAAGGTTAAGAAAGAACGGTCCTTTGATTTTAAAATTTTAATAAATTATATAGTAATTCTTAAAACCAAAGTAAACCACTGAAGTTCTTTTTGTTTTGTTTTTGCTTGCTTTGGTTTGGTTTTATTTTTGGCAACTGGCCAGTACAGAGATCTGAATCCTTGACCTTGGTATAACAGCACCACACTCTAACCAACTGACCTAACTAGTCAGCCCTGAAATTTTTTTCTGTGTACAAACAATACCCTCCAAGATACCAAAGGACATTCATTAGCATTAGCCTTTGTCTCTCAGCACTGTCTACCGACCTGTCTTAATCCCCTTCCAAGATGTAAGCCTCTCAGGAATACAGCCCATTTCTCACTTTACCCTGTGTCCCCAGTGTCCAGCACTTGTCTTGGAGAGGATGCCTCTGTGAATATTTATTGAACTGAACTGGCCTGCAGATGAGGGTCCCAGGATCCACCACCAGCCACCAGCTCTGAGCACTGACCTGTCCTCGTGGATGTAGGCCAAGTAGAAGAGGAGCAGGATGCAGAACTGTCTCTGGCGAGCAGCTCCCTCCACATACTGGCGATCAGACAAAAAGGCAAGGCTTTCAGGACCCCTGCTGCTTATCTGGGGCAGCCCATGGTGCAGGAACTCAGACACTGTAGAGAGCTCTGGGGAAGGAAAAGGCAAGGGAAAGCCACACAAAGAACACAGGAGAGCAGGTAATAATACAAGTACCTCCTGCATGCACAGAACTGCATGGGGCAGCAAGTGTACATGCAGTATAGAAGAAATCAGAGGTTCCTCTTCCTTTATGCAGCTTTCAACCTACCAGGAGAGACTAAAGTTAACATGTGGAAGGACATAGACATGTCTCAAAAATGCTACACTCATTTATTCATTCATTTGACATACAAGTATGTTCACTGAGTGGCTAATCTAGGCCAGGCTGTGACACCCAGGCCCTACCTCCAGGAGCTGGAAGCTGTTGGTTACAAGGCTCTAACCAACTGAGCTAGGAGCTGGAAGCTGTTGGGATGAGACAGATAATGAGACAGGCAATTATAGGACATGTGATCAATGCCAGGCTCCAGTGCGGAGTGACTCAGGCTACCTGGAGAGGGAAGTACAAGCTCAAAGAGGAGGTAACTGTGGAGGGTGAACAGAAAACAGGCAGAGAAGGGAGGGAAGAGAATCCAAGTTACAGGAAGCAAGGTGTTCAGAGGCCTGAAGGCACGACAGGACACATCGTTTTTCCGTTCAGTGTGACTGGGCGGTCAGTGAATAGATGTGGAGTGTCAGGAGCTACGGAACACTGTGATGTAATCTGCAGCTAGACTGTGAAAGACCTCAAATGCTACTTAAAGAATTTGGATTTTATCCTGAGGGCAGAGATTCCTAGATTTCTTACGAAACCTCTGTTTCATAAAAGAAGGAGTATTTAGAGGAGTATTTAAAAGAACTGGAAAGAAAAGGACTTCAGAGTTTAAAATTTGAATAAAGTCAACTTAATGGAAAATTCACTACATTACCCTTATTTTCCACATTTCAGCATAGATGAGAGAAAACTCCATTTACTATTTGATACAGACCAATGTGTGGGGTCTATGGCTGAAGGCGAGGGAAGTCAAGATGTTAAGACTTGGTTTTCAGGTAGATCCTTCCAGCAGTGAGTGGAGACTGGCTGGAGGATGAGAGACTAAAAGCAGGGACCCAAGTTGGAGGTCAATGGAAAGAATTCATTCTGCCAAAGCAGCAGACCCAGGGCCAAGTCCTGGGTAAATGGAGGGTAAGGATGGGGAAATCCCACAGCAGTTTGGTAGCAGAGTCAGGTCGCGTCTAATTCCAAGTTCAGGGCTTTTTCCACCAAAGCAAACTATGATCAATATGATAACAATGAAACAAATATCCTCAAGCCTCTCATGTCTGCCTGTCCTTCCCCCAATACATAAAAGAAAGAAGCGGTCTGCATAGAAGTGAGGTCTGCTGTGCTTCCTGGCGTTCTGAGATTTGACAAGATTTCAGTGTCTATGGAAGCAAATGTGTGGGGCTCCTCTGTTCTGACAAGCAAGGGAGCTGCCAGCCGCAATGGAGCCAAAACTCTGAGCATGAGAAGCCACTGTGATGTGGCTGACAAACAGTCATACGCTACCATAACAGAAGCTGTAGTGCTTGGGCCGGCCGGTGGCACACTCGGTAGAGTGCGGTGCTTGGAAGCGCGGCGGTGCTCCCACCGAGGGTTCGGATCCCATATAGAGACCGGTCCGCTCACTGGTTGAGCGCGGTGCGGGTGCGACACTGAGGGTTGCGATCCCGTTGCCAGTCACGAAAAAAGACAAAAAGAAAAAAAAAAAAAAAAGAAGAAGCTGTAGTGCTATTCTCTCTGCAGGCCATGCCATGCCTGAACAGGTAGACTGCTGGACACCATGCAGAGAGGAGTGGCCAGTGTAGTGAGAGAACCAGGAGCCAAGCCTGGAAGTAATGGAAATGCTCACCTGGGCTTCTGTCTCTCACTGAGAAAGATGAAAGAGAGGTTTAGGGAGTGGGAGGAGAAGACACAGAATCTTCATAAATGCAAAAAGAGGAAACACAGCAAGCACCAAGTCTAACCCACAAAGAAGGTATAATATTTGTTGAGTGAATAAATAAAACAATGATTAAATAGTTATATGTTATACCAGCGAAGAGTTCTAAAATAGAGCAACTCTTAGAGCACAGAACATATTGTAATCACCACCGTATCCACAGTAGACTTGGCCTCCCTGGCATGAAACAGAAGCTCAATGAATGTTCAATAAAAAGAAAAACATCAGCTCTCAGCCCTGCACCTGCTGTTCCTGCTGCCTAGCATTAGGCCTCATAGCTAGCTTAACATCAGCAAAGCCAGTTAAGCAACTCCCCCCCTCCCTTCTCTCCCCCTCCCTTTTCCCTTCTCTGCTCCGGGAACTGAGCAACAAAATTCCTCCCCTGGGAAGGGGTAAATATGACCGTTATCATCAAAGGAACGTCTTATGGGCTGCTGTAGCTGGCTTTGGGCTGGAGCGCTTTGCACTGATATAGTAACGACACTAATTAGAAGCCTATGCCCTAACCGACCAGGTGTTGGCAGGCTACAAGGGCTGTGTCACCTTGCATACCACTGATTATGAAATTGCCCATTACTCTGCCAGAACCCTCAAAGGCTTATAAACCCCTGCTTTCCCTGGTTTGGGGGAACTGCTCAGTCTCCCCTCCACATTAGTGAAATAAAGCTTTTTGGCTGAAATAGAATCTGTCTCAGGTCTCTCTCTCCCTTTTCTCTGTCTCGCCGAACCTAACACCTAGATCCTGCATGGCCCTCCTTCGCTTCACTCAAATCTTTGCTCAAATGCCACCTCCTTACAGAAGCCTTCCTTGACCACACTATCTAACACATATTGCCTCCCCTCCATCTCCCTCTATCCCTTTGCCCAGTATTATTTTTTTCACAGCCCCTCTCTGTCCATGACATTGTATCTATTTGTTTATTGCCTGCCTCTCTCACTCCATGAAAGCAGGGCTTTGTATCTCTAGCTCTTTCACCAGCTCCCAGAATAGAGTCTGGCACAAAGTAGATGCTCAAGAAATATTTCTTGAATGAATGAACAAAGAAATGGAACAGACTATTCAAGCTATAGTGAGCACTGGAATCTAGAGGTGAACAAGCAGACAGAAAGGGACTTGGTATGGGGATACTGCAGAGATGGTTGGGAGGAAGAAAATGGACTTGATGAGCTTTAAGGTCTTTCTCGACTCTTAGAGTCTAAGGTGCCAGGAATCTTGGATTCCATTGTTTTCTGATTCTATTATTTAACCTGCTTAGGAATCTGCCTATAATTCCATCATTCCATGACTCCTCTGGGCAAAGAGGAATAAGGCAAAGAGATATTATTATTATTATTATTATTTTTTTTTTTTTTTGGCAACTGGCTAGTACCAGGAACTGAACCCTTAGACCTCGGTGTCCCAAGGCTGTGCTCTAACCAACTGAGCTAACCAGCCAGCCCGAGACTCCATTACTGTACTGACTCACAACCCAGCAAATCAGCAAGGCATCCAGACTGTAAAGACCACCACAGACCTCATGAGTGGTGAAACTGCAGCATCTTACCTTCTTGGGAAGGTGGTCCTGTCTTCTCTAGAGATGAGAGGAGGTTGAGGCACATGTTGTAGAGGAAATTGGAACACACCTGGTTTAGAGCTGAGTAACTTAGAGGCAGAAGAGAGAACAAAAGAAAAAACATTGCTACTTTGACTCAAACAACATTATTCCTACCATATGCCTGAACACCACTGCTTTGTGCCACAGCCCAATGAAATTCTAACCATGACCATGGTAGAAGAGGTCCTGAGGTGATTACGAAAAGTAAATATGGAACCTACTGCCCACAGCTGCAACTTAAGCACTTCACCCATATAGGCATTCACTAAAAATTTACTTAAAAAAATAAATCAGGGGCCGGCCCGGTGGCACACTGCTACAGTGCGCCGCTTGGGAGCGTGGCGGCGCTCCCACCAAGGGTTCGGATCCCACATACAGACCAGCCGCTCACTGGCTGAGCGAGGTGCGGGTGCAACACCGAGGGTTGTGATCCCGTTGCCGGTCCCGGTCCGGTACGGGCGC